AGAACTTCGTTCGGGAGTGCAAGGCTAGGGCTGCGTTGGTAGTACTGGGCACGCGTTTTAGTTCTTAATTTTGAGAGAGCATCTCCGGCTCGCGAATCCATGGGCTTTTAATTCGGCGATGGTTTTTACGGAGAGCTTCGTCAGGATCTTCGGCTACTAATAGTGGGGACTATTAAAACATTATCGATGTCCTCTTCAATGTTCTTATAAGAACCAAGTTGCAGATATAATGTCCCATAATGTCGACGCTGTGCCGCAGTAATGAGTGAGAAGAGGGAGCCACCAGACAGTTTCGGCGCCCTCTTCAGCGGTCTGATAATAATCAAGTTGCAGGGGCCTGACCGACAGTGTTGACGCTGAGCCGCAAGATATAGTATGTGATATCGATAATTTGCTGGAGATGCCAGTCTATATCGTCGCCCTCAATGCGATCTGACTGACGTCACGTTATGGAGGACGCATCGATAGCTGGCCAGCAATATAAAATAAATAATGTAAACAAATGAGTATACCTTGCACGGGTTCCCTTAAACGTGTATAACTTTCACTGTTATTATGACTTACACTAATTTCACTTGACTTACTCAACGAGACTGCTTTTCTTCGCCATTCGTTGCTCCTTATATATTATTACGTACATTTAGCGTTGTAATTCTTGAAAGCTTTGGTGAATTCTGGGACGGCAAGCTTTAGTACGTTCTAGAATTTTCTTTTGTTACATGCGGATATAGCACGAGGCTTGAATTTTACCGAGAATTTTTGTAACGAATAATTCAAATGATTCAAACGCCTTGATGTAGTTATAATGTATCGGAATCATATTATAATAAACAATAAATTTGTTATTGTTGTTGGGTGGTTCAATCCTGAACACTGTTATATTGACAGTTTTAGTTGAATCATCTTGAAAATTTAATAACATATTGTGGTGAAAATAGTTTTTAAAAATATTGAATATTTTCTGTAAAGGGCTTTTTATCTACACCTACTGGTTCTTTGTTTTATTTTAATTTATAGTATTTATTATTTTATTTATTCTTAAAAATTGCCTTTTTCATTTCTATTATTAAATATATTGTGAAATCTCTTCCTCTATATGATATACTACATCCAACGAAATAATTTAATTTTTATATGCACGAACTGGTTTCCTCTTTCCATTTTTTGTATGCGGTACCTTATAGATCTTTCACAGATTTTCTTCACTAAGTCTAAGTTTTTTTTGAATTTCATATTAAAAATGATTAATAGTCCATTACAATATTATTATGCAATCGTTATTTTTTCTTTAAAATATTTTTAACGAGTAATTTTATAATGTTATGTGTTCCAAAAATATTCATCCTTTTCACTTTTCACTGTTATATTTTGGTTGCATTATATACTCAGAAATACAATATGAAATCATATTGTTTTTGTATCTTTTTATATATACTCCTGAATATTATCTATATCTCATGTATTTATTAAAATTCATGACTCTGTACTTGACAGTATATAACTTTATTTATTTATTTACTTTTTTCTTTTTATTTAGCATATTTCCTTTGTATATTTTTTATGTATTCAATTATATTTTCCAAATAATATTTCTTTTAACAATGTCATTGTTTAGATTTCTTTTTTTAATAATTTTATTTATCTTGCTCCTCTCGTTGATGATAGGTGGAGGTGTTGCTGGCAAGTGGGAAAGGCAAATGCAATTAGTCAATTCTACATCTAGTATATCTTTGTCTTTCCTTTATTAAATACAATAATGTAATAATAGTTAATGGTTACAGAAGTGTATTAATAAAGAGTATGAGTGACTTATGTATTAAGTTTCTTCAATTATTTTACGTGTGTGCGTGATGAGCCGCCGCTGTTTAATCCGTTGCTGATTTAAGTGTGCATGATGAGCCACCGCTGTTTAATTCGTTGCTGATTTAAGTGTGCGTGATGAGCCGCTGCTGTTTATCTATGTTGAGATAAGTTGATGTATGTTGGAGTTATACTTTTGTTAATTTCACTCTTAAATTATACTTGCACTAACACTTCTTGAATATAGTTTAATGCATTATGGTTTATTAGATTGCTTGTTACTTGATGATTAATTTGTATAGTTACAGTGAGTGATGACTGTAGTTTGGAAGCTTGAAGAAAGAAAAGTGAGCCCATCATGGAGACTAAGTAATTTATAACTAGTAAAAGAGCTGCGCATCAAGCGCTGCTCAAATATTTTTCGTATAAGTGGTGCAACGCCGGCAGTGCACCGCTGCCTGTTGCTATGCCGAATTATAATCGTAATTTGAGTTTTCAGCGTAGGAAATTTCTGGAATTCGCTACATTGTTTTCTTTTTAACATAATGTCTGGGAGCTTATATTTCTCCCACTTTATAATTCTGCTTTCAACTGTTTCAATCTCGAACATTGGTTTTAAAATTTTTTTTTACAATCATTTATTCATATACTCCATTGTATCCAAAAAACGTAAAAACAAATAATTGATAACTAGTAACTTGTCAATATTTCTAAAACCGGCTTGAATTTTATATTCACATTCCTTAGATTCTTTTTTCAATTTGGAAATTTTTTCAAAATTTTCCAAATCTAAATCATCATAAGTAAATCCACAAAAATGATCTAGCCTGTTTTATATAACTGTATTATTATTATTAATACATTACATATAATATATAATGCCGTTTACTTAATTATATATCTAATTATATTATATAAAGAATTGGAAAAAATAAGAATAATACTTACTTTCGATTATACTTTATACTACTTATTTATTTACATTATTTATTTTATATTGTTGGCCAGCTATCGGTGCGTCCTCCGCAACTTGACTATAGTCAGACCGCATTGAGGGCAACGACATAGACTGTCATCATATATTATTATTATTGCGGCTCAGCGCCGACAATATCGGTCAGGCCTCTGAACCTTGATTCTTATCAGACTGCTGAAGAGGGCACCGATAATGTTTCAATATTCCTCACCAATACATTTCTTGAGATTCTCTCCCATACTGCTGTCGCCGAATAATGCGCCCATGGATTCGCGACCCGTGCGATGCTCTCCACACGAGCTATCGCCGAATAATGCGCCCATGGATTTGAGATTCTTGCGATTGTCTCTCATAAATAAGAACTAAAACGCATGCCTAGTACTACCAACACAGTCCTAATTCTCATGTCCTTTAATGTCCTTTAATTCTCATAACGATACGTAACAACAACAACATATGTATCAAAACCTTAAATAAAGGACACTAAAACCAATTGCGTTTACACTGAATTGATACATTAAACCCCCCCCCCCACAATTAAACCGGTGGTACGGTCTAATCCAACCATCTTGGTCTTCGGACCATTCTAGTGGCTGGAAATCCAAACATTTTGGTTTAAAAAAAAAGGAAAATAACTTTAAAATTTTAATTAAATCTCTTAAATTACGATAATATATATTTAATCTACAGATATTTTCTTTGATAATGAAATATAAATAAACATTAAATTTGTCTAATATTGCGATCCTCAAGATATCATTCAAAATAATTTAAAATCATTCGTTTAAAATGTATATGACTACCTTTATTTCTTTAGGCTATATAGAATTGTATGTTTTGCACATTAAATTATTATGTATTTTTTATCATTGTTAAATCCGCTATTCGTGTGTGATACGTGTGTATAATTATCAATTTCGTAATATGAATTATTTTGTGATCTTGATTAAATATTTTTCATTTATAAATCATTATACAATCATTATATTAAAAAACTATTCTTATTTAATTGCCGATTGAATCATGTAAAAGAAAATATGAAGTTCATTAAAAAGTAATCTATGACTATGTATTCGACTTATTCTTGTAAATATTAATGTTATAAATTTCAATTTCTAAAAATATAATTCAATAATAAATGACATACAAAATTTCTTTACGTATAATAAACCACTTGCGATAGATGAATCAATATATCTATTTACATTTAATATGTTTATATTGAATAATTCAGAACTTTTTCTCAGTCTACAAATATTAAAAATAAATATGAATTTACATTTAAATAGAAAAAAATTTAATGTCATCTTTCTTATTTTTGTAAATAAGCTATCAGTTAATAGTGTTCTCCTATGATCCTTGAATTATTTAATACATGATTTATGTTATACAATTAATTAAAAAATATTCATATACATTTTGTGATTGATGTTTATTATTTCCTACATTATTTATCGTGTTAAAAACTACAAACATGTATAACAAATACTTTATGCTGAGACCTTTTTATTATTTTATTTAATATTGCCTACTGATAATAGATTATGGAAAATTATTATTATAATTTTATAAAATTATTAACATAATTTTATTCAGCTGTACCATATATTTTGTCTCTTTTATATTTATAACAATTTCAAAAAGTTAATAGAATAATTTTATATACAAATTTTTCTACTAATTTTCTCTATTTTTTTCAAAAAATATTTAAATCTTAAATTTTAAACATTTATTCATAAATATTTAAACGCAAACGAGAAAATTAATAACCATTAAAATACTATATAAAATGAAGCAGGTGTTATATATTTGATTGATGTATTGAATTAAAAATTGTTTTTGTAAGTCATAAATACCAATGTATTCAATTTACTTAATCATTTACTTATTAAAAAAAGAGTTCTTCTTGTAATAATTAAAATGTCAGTAGATATATCATGATTTATTTCATTTATTATATTAAATTAAAATTATATTAAATTGATTGTTTTTAATTAATAATAATTGTTATTTATTAATATTCTTATTTAATGCGTCAAAAATAAAAATTATAATTGTTATACTAGATTATAAATCCAAGAAAATAAATAGTAAAACTGAACTACAAAAATGAATAATTTTTTACTGCATTTATATTTAAAATTTAAAAACTTCTTAAAAAAAATAGTTAAAAATTTACTTAATTTGAAAGTTAAATTATTTGAATATTATTTCTGATACTCACCTCTTAATGGAATTGAATTGGAATGCACTGCTTCAGTAGAGCAAGAAGCAGTATTATATTGTAATTGTAATCCAATTTCTCGTGCTTCACTTTCTTCTTGTGCTTGTTGTCTCCTCAATGCAACCTAAAATGTTTAATTGTATTGTAATTCAAGAATTTATAATTATTATAATGGAACTAACATTGATTTGTTTTTTTACGTAATAAACAAATAATATGTTATAGAAGTCTACATATATATAAATACATAATATTATTATATAATTATATATTAATATTTTAAAATCTTAATTATATTATTTTTATTAATATTTATATATTTATTTATATTTAATTATATTCTTACATATTTTAATTATGTACTTACATATACCATACTATACACTATATGCTATATATATATTATAATTATATTCTCTTATTTTATTAAGGATATATATTGCTACGAAGTTAAAATCCACCATATCAGTGCGAATATGCATAGTAATATAATTATATTTTTAGCAAATAACCATTATTTTTATTTTATAAGTAATTTGATTTATAGATTAACTAACTACATCAAACTTCAAAAGTTTGATAAACTATGGATAAAAAAACTTATGAATTAAATTTATATGTAAGCACCTAATATTCTTAAAGCTTAAATAAAGTGTTCAAGAAAAAAATAATCAGCCCTTAGAAACGTATTATAAATTGTATTAAATATAGTTAAATATTAATAAAATATAATTAAGAACTAGAAGCTTTATAATATTAATACATTTATAATACAAATTTTACATTATAAACTTATATTAAATACTAATAGTATATCAATAGTATTTGATTCCATCTTATTTTTCTTTTTTTAAAGGCTACGGATTTTCATCGAGTTTTTCTTATATTATATCAGCATTTTCATATTTTGTAATATTTAATACAATTATAATAAAATTCGAGAATAACTGCCATATCTCTTGTCTATGTGCATGTCTTATTGGTTTAAATAATTAACAAGTTTGTAAGGATCTGTGAAATATATTCATGCCTGTAGTGATAAATCAACGCGCTTTGCACAGTGCCGTATTACATCTTTCTCTCACATTCCTAGTGCTCTCGCATACTTTATATTTCTCTTTTTATCCTACTTTATTGTAGGTGCTACCTTATTATATTACTATTACGACATACATTTTTCCTATTTGCTCTCTCTCTCTCTCTCTCTCTCATGTCAATTGCATTAGCTGCAGTTACGCATTTTCATGGTCGATATATTTGGAGAAGGTTTACAAAAATTAAAAGAACGTTCTTGAACATTGAAAATTTCTAATTAACTCGTTTCAATTTTTAAGAAATAAAATATTGAGGTCTGTTTATTCTTCTCTCAACTCTTATTAATTATTTAAATTGTACTCAAAATTTTTTTAAATATTTAAAAGAAAAATTTTTATCAAAAATTAAAAATTTTTTATAAATATTTTCTATCAATGCCTGTATAACAATTTCAAATGAATCTATCTTTTTATGAAATAAAACAAAAATAATGCATTCTCGCAACGGTGAAATTACAATAACCTATATCTAAGGATAATGTAATAAGCCTTTATTTGTAAAATAAAAATAAAGTATGATATAAGTAATATATACTTATATCCAAATATAAATAAGATGATTTTTTAATTAAAAAAAATATATTTGTATTCAATTTAATGTGAAAGATAAAAAAGATTGATTTATATTATTTACAAACGCGCTTTCTTTCTTGATCCACTTATTAGAATACACTGCGAAGAATGTCAAAAACGCACCATGCATAAAAACAATTGATATGATATGATAAGATAAAAACAATATTAATATACAAAAGAAGACATGTATAAATATGGAAAATTAATAGTATACACAACTTATAAATATCGTGACAATCATTACTAAAGACAAATAATATTCAATTAAAAGCTTATCGAAAAGTTTCCGTAATTTTTAAAATGATTTCATATTTCATTCATTTTTCTTGAAAAAAAGTTAAACAATTATTAGTTGCCTTATTAAGTTATTTTGTTATATACTTTTATTCGATTTAGTTCTTTTTTAATTATTATGTAAAATTATTTGTATGTTAGGAATTTCTTTTATTTATATTTATATTTTGTAAGATAGTTAAATCAATGTCTTTTTATTAATTATATCTTTTTATTCTATTTAGAAAACAATTTGGTGAAACTTTAAGTAATTTTTTAGCATTATACAATTTTAACGAATAATGAAACTTGTAATGTAATTTTTGAGTGCAAATGATATGGATTTATTTATTGAAATTATTACAAGTATTATATTTATTATAAAATACTGTAATAGACTATATCAAATTAATATTTTAATATTTTAATATAAGCCACGAAATTCTAATTTTTAATAAAAAAAATGTTACATGGATCCTTAATATTACATATTTGTGCATATATGTATGATTACCTAAATATGATGTATATACATATATGATGTAACATATACAAAGAAATAGTCTCGTTATATATGATTAAATAAAAATTGTTAATATAAAAATAAATAAGGACATAATTAGTATAAATATACTAATTAATAACTTATAATTTAATACAAAATTTTTAATTATTACAAATTTAATAATGCTTAGAGTTAATAATGCTTGAAGTCACTATTAATAATATATTTAATTTTTATTAAAAAGAATATATATATTGTCTAATATTTAAATATTGACACTGTATATTTAAAAAACAAGCAGAATGTATATCAGATTAATTTTTAACACTACTTATATGATAGTAGTCTGCTACAAAATATTTTAGATTATAAATGTTATTATATTAGGATTGTGTATGAGAGAAAAGTAAAATACTTTGACATGTATTATATAAAATTACTTATACATTCACATACGACGAATTTATAAAAAAATTCATAAAATTGACACAGTGATAATTAATATTTTTTCTTATATACAGTCTTATTAACTTATAATTATAAATTTTTAATAATTTTTAACGAATTAAATTGATGTTTTATTTTTATAAAAAGATGTATTTTATAATATATTTAATGTATTATAATTAATTACCTGTGCTGCCATAACTCGTTGTCTCTCAGCAATAAGTGTACATTTAGCACAAACACAATCTCGCCAACGGCAATATCGTTTGTGTCCTTTAAGTGCAGAGACTACACCATGATTTCTGCATCTTGCACATTTTGGTGTTCGTTGATAACGTTCAGCACTTGCACGTAAAATAAAAGCTGGTAAAACATGTTGTGATTGTTGATGTTGTATTAATTGTTCGACATCAACACCTACACTTCTTGGTACCGACATTCTTGTTAATTGAATCAAAATTTTCTATAAATAAAATCTGTATTTATTGAACATTATTTTCAGATAAAAATAAATATATAAACAATTTATTAAAAATATTAATAAATATTTATTGTGATTGCATACCGAATATATGCATAATAATAATTAAATTAATTAATTCTATTGAATGAAATGAATTTTTTTTAATTTTGGATTAAAAAATATTGTTTCTAATTAATACTATACTATATAATGTATACTATTTAGTATTTGTAAGAAGTTATTTCATTAAATACAATAAACGAGAATAATTTATTATAATAATATTCAGTTAGATAATTAGTTAGAAGTTTTACGCTATATACTCATTTTAATTATTAAGTTATAGGGATAAAAGCAAAGAGAATGCAGAAACTCAATTTTTTTCAATTGAGTTCATAAAAATATTTGGTTACGAATTAAGAAATTCCCGAATGACAAAAATACGGACAACATATTCTTTTTTAGAATTGTTAACAGACCATTCCCTTTAAATGTTGACATATTCATTAGTATTTTTACCTAATTATATAAATACCACCGTGCCATACAGGTCAATTGTTCACTATTAATTTTTAATTATAATGATTATTCATCTACTTCAAATTTCTGCACATTTTTATTCATGAAGGTCTTGGGTATACTAATACATTCGTGTTTAAGCGATATATGTCCTCATTATAATTTTCGATTTTTTCACCGATATAACAGGATCTTCTTATGCTTTTCGATATATAAAACGTCGTCATGACCCTTACATCTAGAAAATACATATGATAACATTTTGGTTGAGTGAATCCCAATTCCTCACGAACACTGCTACACCCTCAGAAGTTTTATAATAGTGAAATATCTCCTATGATATAATTTCGATAATTATATAAAGTATTCAAGTATGCATATTATATAATACTTTGATTCACTAAACATTTGATAATAAATATATATAATATTTTATTAATATTAATATCAAACGATGCATAATAATGTCCACTTGGACTGTTATACGATAATTTTACTCTTCATCGTATTAAAATATAAATAACACACTATTATATATAAATTTTAATAAATTTATTTTAAATTTTTACGAGATTTCTCGTAACATTTGCAACGCTCTCAATTTATAGACCTTATACTAATTATTTAGTAAAAGAGTAATAATCATGAACGGATTTTTAGGATTTGTATAATCAATTTCTTGAATTTATTACTGTTAATGGATTAAACATTACTACCACCATGTTATTAAATTGGCATTTTTAAGCTTTAAATCTATATCAGTTGGAATTTATTTTCCTTTTTTTTCTTTGATAAGTTACTTGATATTATTTTTTAATTTATAAAATTCGAATTCATTCGACAGTATGTAGATTTTCATATACAGTGTTGTACCCAGTATTTATTTAATGCGTGGATAAATCAATCATTATTATTATTAGCAAGTTTAAAATCAACTTAATTTTCCACTTTCATTTCATATTTAATCTTGTTTATTAACTCCTAGAAATACAACCCCATTTACAATGCACTTTATTCCTTTTTTAGTAAACTACACCTAAATGGAACGTGAAAATACTATCTTTACCTAATTTTATTATCAAAAAGTATAGATAATTACATTGTTACAAGCATTAAGTATTTTATTTTAATATTCCAGACTGTAATATGAAAAATTTTAGATTCTTATCAAGATTTATAAATTTATTGTTTTAAAACATATGATTAGACAAGTTGTTAAAATAAAATGTATGAAAATGGTTTGTAGTTTTATTAATTAAATGTAGCAATCAATGTTTATAAAATATTTTCATTTTATAATAAAACAACGGTAAAATACTCAATATTTTCATATTTTTAAACACTTTTAAACACTTTTAATATTTTTTATATATTTTTATAAGTTGTAATATATATATATTTTAAATATTGTAATGTTACAATTATATCAATCATCATAAAACATTTAATAATGATTATCTCAACACTCGAAACCAGAATACACATATTAAATATGAAATTTATCGATCTCTAGAATTTTTGAGTTATTTGGGAATCATATTTTAACATTATATATTCATACTTGTATATATTTCGTTAGTATTATATCGGTCAATGAGTAATCTATTGAGTCTACTTGTACAATTGGCATTTATTATTTGATATAAATACAAATATAAATTAAAATTATTTAAAATATTTCTTGTCTAGTGAAACAATACGTTTATTCAAATTGTTAGAATAGTCAAATAAATTTTTTAATTGATATACTCGTTACATAAATACTTTTATATATTTATTACTATTTTACTATAAATATAGTTGTATAACTAATGTATATAAGAATATTATACCTTACAATTTTTTTTCGATAAATTCTCATTGGACGTTAGGAAAACTTTTAATTTGATAAGAAGATTATCTCTAATAACCTTAGTTTTGTTATTTTTTCGTCGTTTAAAATTAATAATCGATTTATACTTTTTCAAATAATTAAATAGTCACTGTCTAAATCAATCTAGTATTCTTGTTCTATAATACTTATACCCATATTTTTAATAGTCTATTCATTTTTATAATTCCCAAAACAAAAAAAGTATGCTTAATATTAGATTCTAGTTATATTAATCATTCTTATGATTAGTTATTAAAATAGTTTTTAACAAGAAGCATTTTTGTTGTTGTTCTATTTCTTATTTAACATATTTAAATGATATAATTTATTTATTGATTTAATAATCTCTGATAGCATGTTCATTATTGCTGCAATTTTTATGTGATTTAAATAAATAATTTTATTAATTTAATACAGTTTAAAAATACTTTATTATAAATTTGCTCTTTTTAAAACTATTTTAACAGTATTTAAATCTGTTTTTATCATATAGAACAAAATAGCTACGATATTTACAATAGCAAATTCGCAATTAATTTTGCTTATAAAACATACTGATGAACATTATTGGATGTTTGTACGACATTTCATGGTTGTTAACTCTTTTATATTCAATTATTTATACTTTTTTCAAAGAATAATGACATATAATGTAAGACATTTTCAATTTATGCTCCTAAAATGATGCTTAGACCCTTCTTTCGAAACACTTTTATTTTTACACCACCTATACTAGTTTTTATGTACAATTCTATTGAAATATATACATACTATAATTGACATAATTGCGTATGGACAGTTATTTTGTATATTAAACTAAGTTTCTTATGCCATTTTTTTACGAACAAAAACTGTTGCTTTTTTTGCTTATGAATTCGTTTGATTATTGCTTAGAAGAATGACATAATATACACACACACACATATATATATATATTATATTATTGAATTATTTCTTCAATAACATATAATATCATACTCATTGATGAATAAAATAAAAGATGTTAAATCGTATAAAAGAAAAAAAAAGACGAGCTAACTATTTTCGAGATAAATAGTAAAAGAAATTTTAATCTGACTATCTGGAATATATTTTTTAGAATATATAATACATAAAAAGTATTTAAAGTAAATAAAAACTTGATAATCATAAATAATTCACAATAAAATCTAATTAAATACCTTTTAAAACATTTTTATGGTTTAATTTAAATATTTATTGTTAATTTAAAATACTTTTTTATAATTTTGACATTTCAATTTTGTTTTTACTTCCTTATTAATTTCTTAATTATACCTATTATATATACTATATTTGTATTTACTATTTTTTAAGTTACCGCTGTAACTTCTTTATTACTCCCATGTTACAACTTTAAATCAATTATAATTTTCTGTTATGTGCGTATCTTATGATGTTTAATAAGTTAGTTTCTTTCCAAAAAAATAATATTGATACATGAATGTTTTTATTCAAATTATAAATTTTCAAATTTCGCTTGAAAATTAAAATATAATAAATGTATTTGTTTAGTTATATATAGTATTCAATAATTCAAAATATGTGATGTCAAAAAAATAATTAATAGAAATTGGCAATTTGATAAAGAATAGTAAATATTTAATGTTTTTAATATTTTTGCATTTAAATTTGTGGATTCAAACAATTATGTAAATATCCCATTTTACGATCTTGATATATAAAAAGTTTATTTTAAACAAATTAAGTATAGATAAATATTTTATAGCTTGAAATGTTCAGTATTGAATAATTATTAATGAGTTTTATCTTTATTATGATAAATAATGAAATAACTTTAAAATTTAAAATACAAAATATTTATGTAACAATTCAACATTATTAAAAATATGTCTCGTTCAGTTATCTGTTTGTATCATTAAAAATAAAAGAAATTATTTTGGTAGATAAATTACTTCAATTTCAATTTTATTATAAATCTCGGTATTACAGTTTAACAAATTATGATACTATAGAATTTTCCAAATCAGATCTAAACGTTATAATTATTTATATGAATATTTACAATAGATTATACGCAATCTTCATTTTTATTATAATTCTGAATTTTGTTTGAATGAGTAATTTATGTTTTAAAAATGAAATCTATTTTTCTTATTATATAACATTTTATACTGATGTTCACTATGTATTAATAAATTTTCCTTCATTATTAGCGAAAGTAAATATTATTGAATTATAATCCAATTTTATTAAAATATTAAATAATATTCCCAATAACCAATTTAACCAATGTTTGTAACAATACATATGCGCAATATAAAATTATATATTTGAATCTATTTCTTAGAAGATTTTAAACCTAAATATATCCATCAGTTTTCACATTTTTTGAAAGTAATGATATTTGTACTGAAACTAATTATTCCAGAATTTTCAAATACTAAATATGGTATTCAAATAATATAAAAATAGTAATCTTATTTTGACGTAGAATAAGTTTTTGCGATTGATAATTACCGTTTCATATTATGCTTCTTATATATATATATATAATACAAACATTATAAATTATTAAACTGCTTAAAAATTCATATAAAACATAAATATTTTTAAGAATAAAAATGTGCTAAAATTATATTTAAATTATATTAATGAACTATGTAAAAAGCTCATTACTATTTATGTTATAGTAAATAATGTTAGTTTAATTAGGAAATCAATAAAATATATTTTACTATTATTAAAATTCATATCATTATTTAAGAAATATTGAATTCCAATAGATAATTTGAATCTTTTACAATTTCTGTATTTTTGATTTTTTTCAAATGCGTTCATATTTATTTATATTTTTTTCTTTTTTGTATTTAAAACGCTACAGTAAATTTTAGTTATATATGTTTTTACAGCTTTAGATATTTCTAGTATTAATAGTAAATTTTTATTTGATTTTTAGTGAATGTATATATGTACCTAAAGGTGAGCAATCATTTTAAACTATAATTATACATTACAGTACCATTTTAAACCTACTTCGTGACACCTCAATGTTTGAATTTATGATTACTTTTAATGAGATTAATCTTATGTGTGTAATCTTATATATCATATATATCAATATATACATAAATTACTATTTCAGTATGTTGAGCCTTAGAAACGCCATAACATAATGTCTATCTTTGTAACTTTAACATATGTAATCTGTAATACTAAACAAATATTGTACTAGACGTAGGAAACAAAGAATTCGTTTTAAATTATATGGAGAGTTTTATTTTCACATTTTTATATTCTAATATTTCATAAAATTCTTTATTTAAATTTTCAAATTCATTTAAACATGTTAGGACATAATTTAAAATGAGTTTTTTAAGATATTTATTTTAAAAACATTATATTAATATTCGTTTTATGTTTAAATAAAATACCTGTTTTATAAATTTTTTAAAGTTGATATTTTTGTATTTAAATTTATAAAATTTCAATGATTATATTAATGAATATATTAAATATAAAATGAATTATTACTTATAAAAATAATTTGTTATTTTTCTTTTCTTATAAAAAATTAAAAATATTATTTTATATAAAAGATCTAAAATGTAATTTTAAGAAAATTTTAAGAATTCAATTTTTAAATAATAACTGTAAAAAGTGTTTAAAATAAAATTTTTTTTTATAAACTATTGATGCAATATGTAACACAATATTGTATATATACAATAAAATATTTTATACTTTGAAGCCAAAAAATTGTTTATGCTGAAATATCAGGAATGAGGAACACTAAGAATCAGTGACAATATATAAATTAAAGACTAATACGATTTAACTTAATTTGTGTGCTTTTCAGTTATACAGTAGTTACTGACTTTACAGTTAACGAAATTAAAATAATATAAAAAGTTTTACGTGAATTATATAAGTCGAGGAATACAATCAAAGATAAATATCAATAATTATTATATTCAATTGCATTTAATTGTTTCTAATAGAATTTTTAATAATTTGACTAACTAAAAAATTCTAATTTTTATTAAACTAAAAATAAAAGTGTTTAAATATGTTTTAAATGAAATTACAATGTTTTATAATTGTTCATTATATAGAAATTTATATTGATATTTTAACTTAAAAAATAGTCAAATCATTTAATTTAAGATAGAAAGTAGATCGATTATTTTACTACATTATTGAAGATATCCACTTATAACTAAAACAAAATAAGATTACAATTTATTGAGTGAATTTTACCAGATAAAGAATGCTAATACAAATTGTAGTTACTATATTATAGCAATATTACTATAGTACTAATTATATATGGTATATATATGCCTGTGTGCGTGTATAGAGGGTATGTGATATTTGTTTTATGTATTTTAATCAAAACTAATTAATAGGACTAATTTGGCTTGGATAAATTATTATCCAACTAATGACATTATAAAATATGTAATTAAATATGTCGATTTTACAGACAAATAATTAATTATAATTATTTGATATATAAAATGTATAGAGTTTTTATAAAAATATATATATAGCAAATAATATATACTTGCTATTCAATAATTTTATTTGATTCAATAGAAATATATTTCATTTCCATATTTTTTTATAAATTTTATTACTGGAAATGTTTAAAAAAGTCAATGTAACGCAATTTATTTCGAAAACAATGTAATTGTACATCAGTTTTTAACTTTCATATATAAAAAAACAATATTTATTATAAATGTTATGATAAATCTATTTATCTATCTATAGTTCATCTACACATTTTGAAAAAATATTTATTAACATTTTATTTTATTAACATTTTATTATTTTAAAATTAATCACAGATAAAATTATCAGATATAAGTCTATTTTTATCTGTTGTATAATTTTTCTAAGAAAATTAAAATATACATTATATTGTTATGTTCATATTTTAACCGTTTTTCAAAACTTAATAAAAATAAGATAGAAAAAAAGATAATTTGAGAATAAAAAATTTTTCATTATTTGATTGCGTTGCTTTATTTTCATTGATATTTTGTACGACATTTCATTTGTTATATTATCTTCAAAAATTAAATCAAAATATTAATTAAAAGAATTATAAATTATATATACTAGTCGAATATTACTTAAAAGTTACTTTTAAGATTACACTGTCTTAAGATTGTTTTATATTTTATTATTTATTATAAAAGTAGTAATTTAGCCATCTATAAAACAAGCATAATTTGAAATAATGTATAAATATTTGAACAGTACAATATTTTTGTGTTTATTTTATATTTTGAATAGTTTTTTTTAATGTTTCAGCTTCGTTTTTTAACGAAATTATAGAAAATCAGTAAAAAATATTTTAAGTAATATTAATAAATATAAATATAATTTTATAAAGGATGTATAATTATTTCATTGCAAATCGATTTATTTATTAATTCTTAAAATTGAAATCTTGCTGTATCAAACAATAAAAAGTTACATGTTAGAAATATAAGTTTAGGAAATATTTGAATATCACTTGAAACTATTCAATATAATTAATAAAATAAAATAGTATACGACTATTCCTTACCAATTCATGTATAATCCTGAAAATTACTTGAATCTTATACCATCGGTTACAGGAACGACTTCGTTTTATATGACTTCGTTTTTAAATTATTAATAATTTTGAATATAATTTAACTGAATCTATTTAACTATCAATTTATAATTTTTAAATAATGAAATATTAGTAAAATAGTTTAGTTTATAATAGCATATCTTTATTTATATAGTATACTTAACACCAATTTAAAGTTTTGTCACAATGAAAAATCACATTCTACTCTATTAAAAAATATTGAAATTACACAGATACACATGCGCGACTATTTTAGTTAATATTTATTCGAATATTCACTCGAAAAATTCAAGTTAATTTTATTTAAATATAATTTATTACAAAATAAATTGGCTAATATTATATGTGTGTGTGTGTGTGTGCGTGCGCGCGCGCGTATGTGGGCATAAGGCTATGTGCATGCGCGTACACACCGTTAAATAAGAAAGCACGTGAGTGTGTAAGCACGTATATTTATGTGTTGATATATATATGAAGCTATATTTGTATTTATGCACATATGAAAGAAAGTATGTTTGCACGAATAGATGTGTGCATGCGTATGCCTGTGTATCTATGTATATGTGGATTAAGATTGGATATGTGCGTTTTGCCTCGCTCGCTCTCTCGCTCTCTCTCTCTCTCTCTCTCTCTCTCTCTCTCTCTCTGTATTAATATACGGGTATGTGTATGCAAGAAAGGAGCTTCAATCGGACTGTTCTTTAAGTTTACTGGTGACCAAGTGCCGGTCTACCACAACCCAATATGTGCCTCTAACTTTTATATTGCCAACATTTGCACTTGCATTGAATAAGATTAGATTATGCTAGGTAAGCTTACCAAGGAGTGTCAGACAGCTACGATTGGATAGGACTAAAGAGAAGGGAATATGAAATAAAATACAGTACTACACTGTACCACCCCAATGTTTAAGCCAATCACATTCTATGATCTCGTCAGCCACGCCTACGAAAGATTCCGATTGGATAGTTCTTAAAGCATTGAGAATATGTATACTTCGTAACCTATCGCGTAACACGACACACCCTTTAAAACAACTTAAAAGAGACAAGTTAAAACGGAAACCAGTCGATAAGAGTCTTTGAATGAGCATTCACTAAATGTGCGTTTCATTCCATAGATATTCTATCATATAACAAAGAGAAGAAAGGAAAAATATACGTATGAACGCAAGAGAAAGAGAAAACTGAAAAGAAAGAATGAAATAAAGAAACAAGATATACGACAAATTAAGTGTATGTATATGAAGGGATGATAGAAAATGATGAAAGAGAGGGGGTGAGAATACAATAAAGATAGATAGACAAACGATGAGAGAGAGAGAGAGAACCAACTCAAATAAAGACGTTAAAGTATGATTAAAATGAATAATATAAAATGAATACACCCAGAATATAATATACTGTAATTGAAATGTACATTAGTAATACTTTCTGTATTATGTAAAATAAAATAAAATAATAAAAATATATTCCTCGCTCACAGATATATTTCGTATTTATTAAACAATTTCTAATATTATAAAATGATATTGAATATTATATAATACATTGATTCATGTAAATAAAAACATTATACGTATTATAAATTTTAAACGTTAATAAAAATTATCAATAATTTGGAATTAATATTGTATAGAATATTCAATAGAATATTTCAAATTAATTTATTTAGCTACTAATGTATAATTTCTATTAAAAAAAATTATAAAAAGTGTCATTTTTGTTCATTTATTAAATTTAGTGATAAATTTACGGAAAATATTTTGTAGATTATAAATATTTTAGACATATTCTAATACAATAATTTATTATTTTGTGATAAAAAAATACAAATTTTACATTACAAATTATTTCAAGAAATTTCAATGTTTATTTGAATAAAAATTTTTTAATAATCATTATTAATCGAGAAAAATAAAATTTATTATAAACTATTTTTATATACTCATTTTTATTGGAATGTAACATAAATTGTATTATTTATATATATGAATAAATTTTTAATTTGATATTTAATATATTTGCGCATAAAACGAATCGGTATTTATATTAAATATTTTTATTTATATAATTCTTGTCTTATAATATTAGATATATTAAATATTGTTTTATCAATATTTTATTAAGAAAATTCATTACGAATCTCTTAATTTGTTTATCAAATAGACAAAAAATATATTCTTTTTAAGCAGGTTGAAGAAAAATTTTGTTTATCAAAATAATTTTAAATTGTAAATAAAAAAAATATTATAAATATATTATAAAAAAATATATTGTAAAAAATAGAATCATGGAATTAGCTGTTGGAAAAATGTTATTTTTTTATATATAATTGATTTTATTACTGAATTAATGTTTATATTTAATTAATTATTTTCATTTTAATATTTCATATCAATGATAATTTGATATAAAAAAACACTAAAATTGAAGAAAATAAATATTTATTATATATGAAATATATTATTTATAAAATACATTAAACTAAGTAATATAAATACATATATATATATATATATATATATATATATATTTATAAAATGAAGATTCAGTTCAAATAATGCAGCTACATGATTTTTAATTAAGTGTTTTATATTAACATATACGTGAACTTTCTATACAATTTTGATAAATTAAATTTTATAGAAAAGAACAATAAAAATGTTATACAAAATTATTATTACTTTATTGATCTCTCTTGAAAATTGCATTTTTTATTAAAAAATATAATATGAAATATTTTCTAGTTATATCAAATTATTCACGAATAATTTTTTCAATAATAAATAAGCTGTCTACTTTTTTAGTTTTTAACTCTACTATAATACTAAAAAAATCAATAATGATCATTACAAATATTTTGAATGATCTAATTTTAACATATATTCATTGATTTTTTAAATGAAGTTTGCAGGCATACAAATTATCTTTTTATATTATAATATTTATAAAATATTTACTACATAACATTCAAAAAATGATTGTAAAAAGTTATAAGATTTTTTTATTAACAATAGCAAATTAATCTAGATGATAAGCCAAAAAAATAATTAAAATAAATGTTATGTTTTTATTAGTTAATATAATTATTATAAAGTAGATAAATAATATATAAATTTTTAGATGCAATAGTTTTGTTATTAATTTATAAGCTGCACAGTTACGCGATTTAATTGTTTTATAATTTTTATGCTCTTAAAATCATATTGAGTATTATTAATTATTCAGAAATTAATTAAATTTCTTGTAATTATTTTCTTCGATGGATTGTGTAAATGATTTATTTATGATTTTGTCTAAAAATTTTACAGCTGTGTTTTATAGAGTGAAAATATACTCTATGACTAAATATTAGAGATAGAAATAATAGAAATAAATAAAAATGGAAAACGGATTTTAACAGAAAGAAGTTTGCATATTTTATTTAACCCAATAAATATAAATATAAACTACAATTTGTACAATAGTGATAGTTAAATATTAATAAGAAGTAATAAAGAGGAACAAGGGAAAAATAAAAATAAATATAGGAAGCTCTACTGTACTAAATTGTATAGATATTTCTTTGTAATGAAACATAAAGTAACGAAATGTTAAAATACATTATATTTATTTAATTTATTATTTATTTATTTTATAGTATCTTTAATTTGTTCTTAAACCATTAATATTTTACTGTACTTAAACTTAAAATACAGCATTGATCGATAAATATTTCTATGTATAATTCTAGTAATTACAAAGAATTTATTGTAGCTTATACATTTAAAATAATTAATTTATTTTAGGGAGACTTTTGACACATTTATATACTCGTGATAAAATATTGAACATTCGTTGTTTTTTTATTATAAATATAAGAACATTTAGTCAACATCCATTATAACATAAGTCATCTATATTTTCAGAAAACGCCTACTATTCTCAATTCTATTGAGTCTAGCATACTTAACATTAATTGATAATAATTAATTACTATTTCAATATAATACATTATACATAATAATAATATACACTTATGTTAAAAAGAGTTTTATTGAAAAAAAAACAAACAGAAGGTAACCATATTTTGTTATTCTAGGATATTATAAAAAAGCAATAAAAAGTATATTTCTTCTATCCCTTTCTAGAACTTTTCAAACGTGGCAATAAGATTTATAATGATTGCTATTGCTTTCAATATTAATTTAATATTGATTATAATATAATATTAATTATAATATTGATAAATCAAAATGAGATTCTGTTTCAACCTCACATAGAATTTACTGCTATTTGCTGACGTTTATAATTAAAAATAAAATAAAAAAGCCAACAAATTAATATTGTATTCTTAGCTTCATATTTTTTTAAAAGTACTATCCTTAGAGAGACAGAGCACTAACTTTTTGTTTTTTCTCGCTCATCAAAGTAATATTTGTTAAAGGCATTCTATATTCATAATATTATGCCATTTTTTATTCATATAACTGGTATGTGTCAGATACTGAGATTTCTCATAGTTACAAATCGCATTTTTGTGTGTGTATACATATATGTAATACAGCACGTCTGCAAATATAATCTTACAGAAACATTTAGATTGATATACATTTAATATATTTTTAATAATAAATGTTAATAAATATTTAATAATAAATTTTCTTTATTAATAATATGCTAAATTATAATTATTTTAAATCTGTGAATAATATATTCCATATTCATTTTTTCAATTAAGAAATACACTATATATAAGTAAAAATCATTTTCCTTTTACATTATCAATTCATTATTATACTGATCCGGAAAAAATATTATAGATAATCCATATAATTAAATAATGTTATAAACTAAATACTAATAATATACTACAGTTACATTATTTACGACAGTGGCTGTATAAAGCATTTATATATATTTAGGCAAGAGTAACTTATTTTATAAGCATAAATATTATAAATTAATAAATATAAAAAAACAATTTAAAACAAGAATTCGCTATTGCTTAATTAAATAATTATGCAATGTTTAAACA